AAACCCATCCAATGTGGGACCAAAGATAAAAACCCATCCAATGTGGGACCACAGATATAAACCCATCCAATGTGGGACCAAAGATAAAAACCCATCCAATGTGGGACCACAGATATAAACCCCATCCAATGTGGGACCAAAGATATAAACCCATCCAATGTGGGACCACAGATAAAGGTGAAGTTCAGTCACAGTGTGGATGGAGGAATTTTATCGTCACAGTGTGGATGGAGGAATTTTATATCCAATGTGGGACCAAAGATAAAAACCCATCCAATGGGGGACCACAGATATAAACCCAACAAATGTGTGACCACAGATAAAACCCATCCAATGTGGGCCCACAGATATAAACCCCATCCAATGTGGGACCACAGATAAAGGTGAAGTTCAGTCACAGTGCGGATGGAGGAATTTTATATCCAATGTGGGACCAAAGATAAAAACCTATCCAATGTGGGACCACAGAGAAAGGTGAAGTTCAGTCACAGTGCGGATGGAGGAATTTTATGGTCACAGCGTGGATGGATGAATTTTATCATCACAGCGTGGATGGAGGAATTTTATCGTCACAGTGTGGATGGATGAAAAGTTTGATATTTTGTTCTCCTGATTTTGTGTAAATGAATACTACTAACATCCACATTGTGTACTCTACCCAAGTGTAGAGAAATTACTGAGGAGAGGCCAATGTAGGGCATTGAATCACTTCATCAAAATAAAACTAACCTTTATGAGGTCAAATCATATGCACCAATAACATTTTAAAAGTGAAACTTCTTTTTTCTACTGATAAAAAGTTTTGCATGTTTGCCAATTTTCAGCGATGAGAATCAAATTGATGGTTTTAATAGTTTTGACCTAGTTTTCGTAGTTGATTACACAGTTATCAGCTCCGACAGATTCATTACAGAAATACACGCCAATATGTCAGCAACGGTTAGATCCAGAAAATTGTAATATTTTAATCAGCCTGCTTACCTGACAATTAAGATTAAAATTCCTGTACAGTATAAGTAGGACAGTGTGGCTGAGGGGATCTTCTTAAAGTTATAAAGTAACATAGGGCGATGGCCGAGGGCAGTATTCTGTACATTATCTAGTAACATAGGGTGGAATCACATGAAGTTGTGGTATACATAGTTCTATTAACTTATTCAAAAGATAATTCTAATAAATTGATTCCCTGAATAACACATCAGATGAAGTTTTCTTATTTTCAAATTTGCTTTATATGAAAAGTTATGTAACTTATTGTAATTGTTACATAGATTGAAGTTATATATCTCTTATTATAAAGAGAACAGTGACTGAAGGTAAACAAATATATAACTGATGTTGTTCTATATTTGTACAGGCTGTGAATACAATTCTGGATCACTTGGAAATCGAGAAACTTAACTACAGAGTCGGACTTAGTCAGGTAAGTCTTACATCACTTTAATCTTAAAACTTTGTTAACTACAGAGTCAGACTTAGTCAGGTAAGTCTTACATCACTTTAATCTTAAAACTTCGTTAACTACAGAGTCGGACTTAGTCAGGTAAGTCTTACATCACTTTAATCTTAAAACTTCGTTAACTACAGAGTCGGACTTAGTCAGGTAAGTCTTACATCACTTTAATCTTAAAACTTCGTTAACTACAGAGTCGGACTTAGTCAGGTAAGTCTTACATCACTTTAATGTTAAAACTTAGTTAACTACAGAGTCGGACTTAGTCAGGTAAGTCTTACAACACTTTAATCTTAAAACTTCGTTAACTACAGAGTCGGACTTAGTCAGGTAAGTCTTACATCACTTTAATCTTAAAGTTAGCAAGTACATTAAGTGTCTGTGAAATCATGTGACGCGTCTGTACTGTCGGCTTATTAGTGTGGTCAGTACTGGTCAATAGAAATAAATAACATGTAAGAGTCACAAAACTTGTGATCGAATCTTGTCTCATTCTTGTTCAGTATGAAACTAGCCAAGCAACAATATGTCAATCCTCTAAACCGGTACTCTGTATTTAGTCTAGATCTTACAATCTTACAATGATTATCTGGTGCTGGAAACTTTTGGAAATTTGCAAATGAATCCTCTGTAATAAGTGAAAAATAGCACTGCACCAAACATTACCCTGTACACAGTATACATACTGGTGTATTGATTGTTGTCAGGTTAAAACTCCCAGGCCTGCCTACTGCACTCCACATACGCAGCTTATATTGTATCTCATGTTCAATTTGAATTGATTCAAGTCATGAAATTATTATTGTTTATTATTTGCATTCATCTGGAATTATTTATGTGCAAACAAGGAAAACAATTTTTAAAAAGGCATAACCTTTATCTTTCACATATTTATGTTAGAGAGAAAAAAATATATAGCATTGCTTTACCAGATAACCTGAAAGGCATTTTCAGATTAAAAAGAAAACTTATAGCCTGTGGAATATACACAGGAAATAATACTCCCTGTTTTACTTTTTTGTATCCTGGGAGTGCTTGTTTCCAGATATGAATCAGATCTGTAAAACTTGTTCGCAGGGGGTTCGGGGAGGGCTTTAAACTGGACATGGTTTATCCCTAAATACTATACTGTAGTACAAGAGACTTGTGTCAACTGCAGTCATGAGCTTATGAACAATATTAGTATTTAAAATCTGAGTTATTTGTTAACCCTGCATTATACATAGAGTATAGGATTCATTGCTGGAGCATGACAGGCATGCAATGGGACACTTAACACCAAATTGAGTTTTAAAGGTTTTTTCTATTAATGGTAATGGCAACAACTGGTTCACCTGTTGTCAGTATAATGTGACCGGGCGAATGGCTGTGCTGGGTGACTTCGGCATAGTATTTCAGTGAGATAGCACTATAAAATCGGCATCAGATCCGCGCTATCATAAGGAGGCAATTACACCAACATACCCTGTCTCCAGCACACATACACACATACACGCAAACATAACACACACGGAGGTACGTCCTTAAATGACCTTAGCTGTTAATAGGACGTTAAACAAAATCAAACCAAAACCAAACCTGACAACTTTAACACATTCTAAACAACATGGTGATGATACAAGTTCTAGGCCATTATCGTGTGAAGGTAAGCTAACCAGACTTGTGTTGTATGCTACATACATGTCATTAAAACTCACCTTGTCGTAGGGGGAGGTGCCACCTGTGTTGTATGCTACATACATGTCATTAAAACTCACCTTGTCGTAGGGGGAGGCGCCACTTGTCATGCCCCGCTGAACAGATCCTTGTCCGTCACTAGTTACAACCACTGTGACAATTTGTCAGATCACTAGCAGACCGCCCCTGTGTGGTACAACCACTGTGACAATTTGTCAGATCACTTGCAGACCGCCCCTGTGTGGTACAACCACTGTAACAATTTGTCAGATCACTAGCAGACCGCCCCTGTGTGGTACAACCACTGTAACAATTTGTCAGATCACTAGCAGACCGCCCCTGTGTGGTACAACCACTGTAACAATTTGTCAGATCACTAGCAGACCGCCCCTGTGTGGTACAACCACTGTAACAATTTGTCAGATCACTAGCAGACCGCCCCTGTGTGGTACAACCACTGTAACAATTTGTCAGATCACTAGCAGACCGCCCCTGTGTGGTACAACCACTGTAACAATTTGTCAGATCACTTGCAGACCGCCCCTGTGTGGTACAACCACTGTAACAATTTGTCAGATCACTAGCAGACCGCCCCTGTGTGGTACAGAGATGATCTGGTTAGTTATCTGTATCTGTTGTCTATCACTGCAGTTGTATAGATTGTACCTCCTACATACCGTACATACCACACACCCTCCAGTCTCCTTTACCTCAAGTACCTTACCAATTCACTCATTAACATTTAAGGATTCTTACTTCAAAAACCAATTATGCTGAATGGTGAAAATTCCTGATCTGTAGTACTTTGTCTGTATTGGCAGCCACTGCTGTAAGGATAAAGGACGACCTTGATTAGAGAATAATAGCGTTTATTGGAGTACGGATGAGAGTTGACTTTGATATCAGAATACTGGTGTTCCTAACCCAATACACAAGTTTACATGGTAACACTTCAGTAAGTAAGGTAATATACACAAAGTAGTGAGGTGGTACACGCATGTATGCAATAGTTAATATAAAATTCACACAGAGTGCTCTTCAGTTTATGCTATTGACGAACATCTAGTTAGCTTTCAACAATATGTAAAGTATTAGATGTACCATTAACTGTGCCCCTCCTGTAGATCAGATGTACCAGTAACTGTGCCCCTCCTGTAGATTAGATGTACCAGTAACTGTGCCCCTCCTGTAGATTAGATGTACCATTAACTGTGCCCCTCCTGTTGATCAGATGTACCATTAACTGTGCCCCTCCTGTAGATCAGATGTACCAGTAACTGTGCCCCTCCTGTAGATTAGATGTACCAGTAACTGTGCCCCTCCTGTAGATTAGATGTACCATTAACTGTGCCCCTCCTGTTGATCAGATGTACCATTAACTGTGCCCCTCCTGTAGATCAGATGTACCAGTAACTGTGCCCCTCCTGTAGATTAGATGTTACCTAATGAACCAGTAGTGGTTAGGATATTTTCCTCGGCATCTTCCATCACATTGTTATGTGTATATAATGAAGTTGTAAGAAGCAGTACTTCACACAACATGTAAACCTCAGATACCTCCTAACCCTTAACCAGGAATTAAGTTAGGGGATGTCGGCTGTATTGTGGGGGAAATCTTTGTAAGACTGGAGTTATATGACCACAGTGGCCTCCTTTAGTAATTGACAATAACTGTATATAACTGATACATAACTGATGTAGGTAGTGGCTGTGGTAGACCAGATTCCTCTTGAGTTTGGAATAGTTTGTACAAAAGATAGATACCAGACTATAGAAGGTCATATTAACAAGGTTCCGCTGCAGGCGCTGTACCTTTGTACAGGTAATTTACACCTGTATACCAGGTATGTGTAGTGTGTATACCTGGTATACAGGTGTATACAGACCCTTACTACATGTACCAGGTATATCCACTACACATACCTGGTATACAGATGTATACAGACACTTACTACATGTCCCACGTATACACACTATACATACCTGGTATACAGGGGTATACAGACACTTACTACATGTACCAGGTATATACACTACGCATACCTGGTATACAGGTGTATACAGTCACTTACTGCATGTACCAGGTATACACACTACACATCCCTGGTATACAGGTGTATACAGACGCTTACTACATGTACCAGGTATACATACTGCACATACCTGGTATACAGGTGTAAATTACCTGTACAGAGGTAGATAACTGTTATCAGACTCGAGTCACACTCCCGACTACCATTACAGGTGTATACAGACCCTTACTACATGTACCAGGTATATACACTACGCATACCTGGTATACAGGTGTATACAGACCCTTACTACATGTACCAGGTATATACACGACACATACCTGGTATACAGGTGTAAATTACCTGTACAGAGGTAGATAACTGTTATCAGACTCGAGTCACACTCCCGACTACCATTACAGGTGTATACAGGCACTTACTACATGTACCAGGTATGTGTAGTGTGTATACTGGTACATGTAGTAAGTGTCTGTAAACACCTGTATACCAGGTATGTGTAGGGTGTATACTGGTACATGTAGTAAGTGTCTGTATGCACCTGTATACCAGGTATGTGTAGGGTGTATACTGGTACATGTAGTAAGTGTCTGTATACATCTGTATACCAGGTATGTGTAGTGTATATACCAGGTACATGTAGTGAGTGTGTGTATACACCTGTATACCAGGTATGTGCAGTGTATATACCTGGTACATGTAGTAAGGGTCTGTATACACCTGTATACCAGGGATGTGTAGTGTATATACCTGGTACATATAGTAAGTGTCTGTATACACCTGTATACAAGGTATGTATAGTGTGTATACCTGGGACATGTAGTAAGTGTCTGTATACATCTGTATACCAGGTATGTGTAGTGTGTAGACCTGGTACATGTAGTAAGTGTCTGTAAACACCTGTATACCAGGTATGTGTCGTGTATATACCTGGTACATGTAGTAAGTGTCTGTATACACCTGTAATGGTAGTCGGGTGTGTGACTCGAGTCTGATAACAGTTATCTACCTATATACATGAAAATCAAAGCATGCAATACATATATCAATTATTGATAACACTTATGTTTCGGCTGCTGGTTTTTATCATTGTATGATGTACACACACAGTTGGTATTAAATGGCAGCCCTGAGGCCTGATAATAGACACCAGATATTGGCAACAATCTTCAGATATTGAAACAGAAAGGACTTTCAGTTAGGTGGAGCTCATACCTTCAAAGCAATCTTGTTGATAGAATTGAATAATGTTGTTAGCATACCCTGATAGTAATACTGAATGCTAAACCTGTTTGAATGTCAGCGTTAGTCATAAAAGCTGTTTGATTTCCCAAGAGAAGTGTTTAAGGCACTTTGGTGTGATCTAATACAGTTTCCTCTCTCCTGTGCAGTTCTATCATACACACTCTCTCTGTCCTGGTAAAGGGCTTTGATCAATTCATTTTAAAAGAATTTACCTCATGGTACAAGAAATGCTTTATTATGTGTCTGACTCTCTACTGGAAACAAACACGGTTGTGATCAGTGGGGATGAAAGTCATCTGTAGAATGTCGGGGATTACACTTTATCATAATACAAATATAGAGATTTTATAACAAACAAGTCTTTATGCTCTTTTGATGACCTTACTGTTACATATACAGAAATCAATGTGGAGATCTCTCTTCTGTTGCCTCCAACCCTCCAGTGATACCCCGTAGCTTCACCTACAAACCAACTGCATCACTTTCTGTTTTGTGCACAGACATTTCGAATCAGACAGTAGTCAAATAGTTTGGTTCTTTTTTTAAGTTCGTATAAAAAAGCAGTGTCTCGTTGTTACATCGGTTGTTAACTAATTTCTTAGTCATCATTTCTATTTCTTTTGATTTTAAAATTTTATTGTTGATAATATTGTATTTTCTGTTTGTGTTTGTAACGTTTTTATTATTCGGTTGATGTTTGGTGCAACTATTATTTATAGTTTGTGATCTCCTGTTTTATTACTCCCGCTAAATTGACAACACATATTTACCACTTCAAACCTGTGAAGATCAAATATTGTTTCTTTTGTGAAGAAAATTGTCCATTTTTGTCCATATTTTATGAAAAGTAAATATTAGAAAACTTCAAAGATAGTTGATTTTACCAATCATTTTTTTGGGACAATAAAACTATGGAACGTCCCACTTAACTTGGGGGATCAGAGCCGGCAGTCTGTGAGGTGGGAATGCCGTCAATCTGACACAGGAGATTGATAGGCTTAAAATTACATCTTTTGCAAGCTCTGCCAAAATGTGTGGACTGTTTAGGTTTATGTATGATTGGTGGTGTGTGTGTGCAGTATAAAAACTTCCGGTATCAGACTGGTTGTGTTGGGACCGCCCTGGAGGTCTCTCAGCCTGTGTATCTGTTGTAACACTACGCCGTACTACACCAGGTGAGAACCTTCCGCTCCACTCATCTTAATTTCAAAATTTTAATTTTGTATGTGACAGTTTCTATATCCATAACAATTGACCTTTTCATTTCCTTTTTTTTTTGAAGAAAAAGTTGGTTGAGCAGGGGAAGGGATAATATTTTGGATCCATATCAAATTATTCAAACTCAAGATATTTTGTTAGATGGAAAGGTATGATAAAATGTGTTGGGTGATAAGATTAGTCAGCCATTTTTAATTTTTTTGAGAAATATGTTTCATTTTTGTTTTTTTAGACAGCTCATCTCATTTAAAAATATTCAACTGTTGTTTTCTAAGGCAGTTTTAGTGTGCCTGTTCGCTTTGGATTCCTGTTTTTTCTTTTCATTAACAATTGAGTTTCTAAAACTTACAGTTTTAAAGAAAAGTTGTTTAAGTTACACTGTTCATTAGGTTTAGTAACTGTTTAGATTGGTCTGACCGATTACAGGCTGCCTCCAGTAAAATTGTGTTTAGTTATTGTTTAGATTGGTCTGACTGCTTAGAGGCTGCCTCCAGTAACATTGTGTTTAGTTGCTGTTTAGATTGGTTTGACCTAGCTATTACAGGCTGCCTCCAGTAACATTGTGTTTAGTTACTGTTTAGATTGGTTTGACCGATTACAGGCTGCCCCCAGTTTAATTGTGTTTAGTTGCTGGGTAGATTGGTTTGACCTAGCTATTACAGGCTGCCTCCAGTTATACATTGTGTTAAGTTACTGTTTAGATTGGTTTGACCGATTACAGGCTGCCCCCAGTTAAATTGTGTTTAGGTACTGTTTAGATTTGTTTGACCGATTACAGGCTGCCTCCAGTTATACATTGTGTTTAGTTACTGTTTAGATTGGTTTGACCGATTACAGGCTGCCCCCAGTTACATTGTGTTTAGTTGCTGTTTAGATTGGTTTGACCGATTACAGGCTGCCCCCAGGTAAATTGTGTTTAGGTACTGTTTAGATTTGTTTGCCCTATTACAGGCTGCCTCCAGTTATACATTGTGTTTAGTTTCTGTTTAGATTGGTTTGACCGATTACAGGCTGCCCCCAGTTACATTGCGTTTAGGTACTATTTAGATTGGTTTGACCGATTAGAGATTGCCCCCAGTTACATTGTGTTTATAATTAGGTACTGTTAAGATTGCAGTTTGACCGATTACAGGCTGCCCCCAGTTACATTGTGTTTAGTTGCTGTTTAGATTGGTTTGACCGATTACAGGCTGCCCCCAGTTACATTGTGTTTAGTTACTGTTAAGATTGGTTTGACCGATTAGAGATTGCCCCCAGTTACATTGTGTTTATAATTAGGTACTGTTAAGATGGCGGTTTGACCGATTACAGGCTGCCTCCAGTAATATTTTGTTTAGTTACTGTTTAGATCGGTTTGACCAATCATAGGCTGCCTCCACGGCTGTCAGTTGGTGATGTAACCATATATAAACCACTTACCCTATACATTGTGTAACGTTCATAGTACACATTAAAATTAAAAGTGACCTTGGACAGTTATCTGTTTCAAACAATAAGTTTTTGACCTCAAAGTCATTTCTATGTGACTTGTCATACCCTCGACTACCAAACACAGCAGGACTTACAACATTATATCATCACATTTCAGTATTTGGTAATACACAGCTATCACTGGCTTTGTTAAAGGGACCTTATTCTTCACATTGTCGTTGCCAGGAATATCACAGGGGAATAGGTGTGGAATGGGGAACTAATACGACAGTATTCTTACAAACCTACTGTATAGATGGACTCACAGTACTTCTGATTATATACTGGTTATATCTACATCCAGTGTCAGTCAGCAGTGATCGTCAGTTCTGTACCAACAGTTCTTAGGCCATTAAAACTTGTGCAATATTAATGAGACGACATATTGAGATGTTTTAGCGAGACTATGCAGTAGTCATTGTCTAAATAAGAAAGGACTTGTTTATGTATAAACTATTTACACAGTCAATAAATTGATTTTTGAACTGTCGAAGTAACAGTCAACACTGTGCACCTACTACCACTTACAAGGTTACAGACAGTGTGGCCCGCTACCGACCACTTACAGAAGGTTACAGACCCGATACATACTCTAGAAGATCAGCCCCTACCTGTCTGGTCAATAACACTGCTGACAGCTGTCATTGGTTTTTTTTTCTTTAATTACAGGTGTTCTTCCGGGCAGGTGCTCTGAATCAGTTGGAGGCTGCACGCGACGAGAAGATCACTGGTACCGTGATTGGGCTGCAGGCCTGTTGTCGGGGCTACCTGGGCAGGAAGTACCTAGGAAAGTTACGGGTAAGTAGACACACTTAATTCATACTGAACTACAATGTTAGACCTGCACTGTTTCAGTAAGATATGATTTTCTTGTTTGAACTTCAAAGAGAAGATTGTAGAGGTTATTTGTAGTATTTGATTATCACATTAAAAATCAAACTGTATTGATGGGGTGATTCCCTACATTAGGATTTAGAAGAATGGAAATCAGTAACACTTCCTCATCTGCCTACATTTCTTATTTGTCCCAGTCAATCAGATTTGCATTGTTGTATCCTTGTATTCAGTGGTGTGAGTGAAAGGGAAAATCTCTGTTATTCAGTCTCTGATCAATCTGATAAGTGATATATATATGTATATAATGTTTCTTTTTCAGTTAAATGAACAAATTACTGTCCTGTTTGTAGGTTGATTCAAAAGTCTGTTCCCGTCAGTGAATCATATTTCCTTCTGGCTTCACAATCGGGAACATTTGATCTACCCATAATTTCCCTACTAAGAGGGAAATAGATACATAATAATCATACAGAAGTGAACTATAACATAGTTTTAAAAATAATTTGGTGATATTGTTTTCCCCTCAAAGGTAAAACACATCGCCATCAGCTGTATCCAGAAAAATATACGCAAGTTGATGTTGATACGTGATTGGCCTTGGTGGAGGTTATATACCAAAGTCAAGCCCCTTCTGGATGTTCACCGGACAGAAGAAGAGCTCAAGTCAAGGGAGGTCAGTCTCAGCAAACTTCTTATCTTTACCTTTGGTTATTTGTGTACCTGTGAAAAAAGTTCAATTAATTAAGGAATAATCCAGAGTTTCAAACCTAGACCTACTTTCTTTCTACTATCTGTATTGTGTGGGGTACAAGGAAACTGGCCTTATTTCATTTCAAACCAGCTGAATTACATACCTGGAATTGAAGGTTTCTGGCCAGATATTATTACATAATACTAATAAGTACATAGATTTATCAGTTTAGGTTATACGGAAGGTTCTGGGAAAATATTGTTGGTGTTATTTAGCAGTGTGAGTCTTATGAAGAATCAAGACCATTGACGGAAATAAATTTGCATATGTATTTTTCTTAAACTGCATTTCTTAACGTCGCCACATATTTGGAATTGTAGACATGCTAAATGTGTGATGGCTATCAGGTTTTAACTTTCTCTATACTTTAATAGTGATGGACATTTATTGTGATGGTGTGAACATGTGTATGGGGGATAGAAATATTGTCAGTGACAGCTGTTACTAACACCGATAGTGATAAGATCCGTACGAAGGATAATGTCGAAGGAGTTAACAGTGACGGAGTAATGCTTGATTTTAACACCAAACACTCAAAATATTACAGGACGTTTAAAAAATATCTCACAACATTCATGAGATTCTGAATTTGATTAAGAAATAGTGAAATTTTAAACAGAGTAGAATGAGGGTGCATATGTTCAGTGTTGGGACAGCATTTATACTAATATTGTTAGTGACATCGATGCATGTACGTGGGGGACGATGTCTGTTTTGAATACATTAGGATTGTGTAAAGTATTTGAAAAGTTTGGCCAGGAAACATAGGATGCAGAATAACTCTTTAAGGTTATGCAAAGCTTCAAGCAATTAAAAACTTCGGCCAGGATGCTGAGTGAGCAGACGCAGAGGAGAACAGGATGACCAGCTACACACGTAGGAAGTAGCTTCCTCTTCATTGTCATGTACACAAGTCAATTAGTAAAAAATAATGTACATGTAGATCAAACACATTCTATAATTAGCAGTTATGTCAAGAGTTAATGGAGAAATGTCTCGGACAGATTTGTAGAATGATTATTTCTGTGATGGTTTTATGGAATGATTTAGTTGATTGAACATTCTTGCGATGGCTATTTTTGTGTTTCCTGACCGTCAATGTCCCTGTGTTTTCCAGTATGAACTTGAACAAATGAAGTCGAAGCTGGAGAGGATCGAGCGTGAGAGGAATGAATACAAACAGCAGAGCGAAAAACTGGAGAATAGGGTGAGTACCCCAGCTTCGTGTGTCCTGTGTACAAGACAGGGATGAAATGTTATAAAATGAACCCTGTCTTGCAAGACCTCTCCACAGATCTGCTGCCTTGCCTGTCCTCCAGAGGTCCTTTGATTTTATTCCAACAAACATAATTATGTTGTATTACCAAAAAGACATGGCCTCTGAAAGCAGATATTGAGATACCGAAAGGAATGGTCCTTCAAGATAAGTTCTACTATACATATTTTACATCTTTATAAAAAACAATCTTAAAACTCCGGTTTCCTTTTATACTGCCTAATGTCATGCTCACTACCATTGTTAAGGATTTCAGATAAGTTTCAATGTTTTAAAAATATTTCATATCAATTGGCACAGCTGTATATACCAAACATTCAATAGTGCATAGATTTGAAAGGCTTCAGTCCTTCTTAATCCTGGTAATAAACCTTAATTGTATATATAATGTACAGCCATGTGTGTTCCAGCTATCTCCTATAGCCAGGTGTATCAATTGTTTATAAACTGACAGCAGGCCAGACATCCCAGGTACAAACAATGTAGCAGCTTCTGGTCTAATGATTGTTGTACAGGTTCATAACCGACCAGGTCTGTGGATTGTTTACATTAATCCTTCTGTTCCCTAACAATGTACCTGCCTCCTCCTCCCTTGATAGTCTGTTTTTTCTGCTGTCTGTCCCCACCTGACTATATATGTGTCTGTCTTTCTGTCTGTCCTCACCTGACATTGTGTCTTTCTGTCCTCACCTGTCTGTCTTTCGGTCTGTCCCCACCTGACAGTATGTCTGTCTGTCGTCCAATAACTTTGTTCATCTGTCCCCACCTGGCATTGTGCTTGTCTGTATGTCTTTCCCCACCTGACTATGTGTCTGTTTGTATGTCTGTCCCCACCTGACTATGTGTCTGTCTTTCTGTCTGTCATCACCTTACTGTGTGTCTGTCTTTCTATCTGTCAGCACCAGACATTGTGTCTGTCTGTCCTCGCCTAACTGTGTATGTATCTGTCCCCAGTTGGCTATGTGTCTGTCTATCTGTCTGTCAGGACCAGACATTGTGTCTGTCTGTCCTCACTTAACTGTGTATGTATCTGTCCCCAGCTGGCTATGTGTCTGTCTATCTGTCTGTCAGCACCAGACATTGTGTCTGTCTGTCCTCATTTAACTGTGTATGTATCTGTCCCCAGCTGGTTATGTGTCTGTCTATCCGTCTGTCAGCACCAGACATTGTGTCTGTCTGTCCTCACCTAACTGTGTATTTATCTGTCCCCAGCTGGCAGAGGCGACGGCAGACCTAGCAGAAGAACACTCAGCAGCCATACAGTCCTCAGAGATGCTGGACGCTGAGACATCTGAGAGGATGAGGCTAGAAAAGGACCTCAAAGATCTCCAGGTTAGTCTCTTATACACATGTTTTGAGTGATTACTAGTGTGTCAAAATTGTAAAGGTGTGTCAAATGGTTACAGGTGTGTCAAATGGTTACAGGTGTGTCAAAATTGTAAAGGTGTGTCAAATGGTTACAGGTGTGTCAAATGGTTACAGTTGTGTCAAATGGTTACAGGTTTGTCAAATGGTTACAGGTGTGTCAAAATTGTAAAGGTGTGTCAAATGGTTACAGGTGTGTCAAATGGTTACAGGTGTGTCAAATGGTTACAGGTGTGTCAAATGGTTACAGGTGTGTCAAATGGTTACAGGTGTGTCAAATGGTTACAGGTGTGTCAAATGGTTACAGTTGTGTCAAATGGTTACAGGTTTGTCAAATGGTTACAGGTGTGTCAAAATTGTAAAGGTGTGTCAAATGGTTACAGGTGTGTCAAATGGTTACAGGTGTGTCAAATGGTTACAGGTGTGTCAAATGGTTACAGGTGTGTCAAATGGTTACAGGTGTGTCAAATGGTTACAGGTGTGTCAAATGGTTACAGTTGTGTCAAATGGTTACAGGTTTGTCAAATGGTTACAGGTGTGTCAAAATTGTTCAGGTGTGTCAAATGGTTACAGTTGTGTCAAATGGTTACAGGTTTGTCAAATGGTTACAGGTGTGTCAAAATTGTAAAGGTGTGTCAAATGGTTACAGGTATGTCAAATGGTTACAGTTGTGTCAAATGGTTACAGGTTTGTCAAATGGTTACAGGTGTGTCAAAATTGTAAAGGTGTGTCAAATGGTTACAGGTGTGTCAAATGGTTACAGGTGTGTCAAATGGTTACAGGTGTGTCAAATGGTTACAGGTGTGTCAAATGGTTACAGGTGTGTCAAATGGTTACAGGTGTGTCAAATGGTTACAGGTGTGTCAAATGGTTACAGGTGTGTCAAATGGTTACAGGTGTGTCAAATGGTTACAGGTGTGTCAAATGGTTACAGTTGTGTCAAATGGTTACAGGTTTGTCAAATGGTTACAGGTGTGTCAAAATTGTAAAGGTGTGTCAAATGGTTACAGGTATGTCAAATGGTTACAGGTGTGTCAAATGGTTACAGGTGTGTCAAATGGTTACAGGTATGTCAAATGGTTACAGTTGTGTCAAATGATTACAGGTTTGTCAAATGGTTACAGGTGTGTCAAAATTGTTAAGGTGTGTCAAATGGTTACAGTTGTGTCAAATGGTTACTGGTTTGTCAAATGGTTACAGGTGTGTCAAAATTGTAAATGTGTGTCAAATGGTTACAGGTATGTCAAATGGTTACAGGTATGTCAAATGGTTACAGTTGTGTCAAATGGTTACAGGTTTGTCAAATGGTTACAGGTGTGTTAAAATTGTAAAGGTGTGTCAAATGGTTACAGGTATGTCAAATGGTTACAGGTTTGTCAAATGGTTACAGGTGTGTCAAAATTGTTAAGGTGTGTCAAATGGTTACAGTTGTGTCAAATGGTTACTGGTTTGTCAAATGGTTACAGGTGTGTCAAAATTGTAAATGTGTGTCAAATGGTTACAGGTATGTCAAAATTATAAAGGTGTGTCAAATGGTTACAGGTGTGTTAAAATTGTAAAGGTGTGTCAAATGGTTACAGGTGTGTAAAACTTGTTAAGGTGTGTCAAATGGTTACAGGTATGTTAAATGGGCACAGGTGTGTCAAATGGGTACAGGTGTGCCAGCAATGTTTTGTGTCAATATCACCAAAGTGTTCCTATATGTCAATATGTACAGGTATACCAGATAAAGTGACAGGTGTTAAATATATTTTGGTTTATTATAAAATGACCAAAGTTTATAAGGTCAGATGGAGATGATTTGGTGAAGGAAATTTAATCATGAAAAATCAGTAGATTTGCAACTAAAGTTTAACTGAATTGCAAGTGGGTATTCTTGTAATAAAACATTGCTTATAAACAATGTTTGTGGAGGGTCTAATGTCTGACTCACCATAATGTTTCTTCTTATAGTCCAAGTACACGGTGCTCAAACGGCATGGGGAGAAGATTGAAATGGAGCTCACACAAGTCCATCTGTGGCAGGCTCAGTCCCTGGACGGTGAGATGGATGGGGAGGACATGGACGGTAAGTTACAGTCTGGGGNGACAGGGTATGTCATTTAGGATGTGGGACAGGGTATGTCATTTAGGATGTGGGACAGGGTATGTCATTTAGGATGTGGGACAGGGTATGTCATTTAGGATGTGGGACAGGGTATGTCATTTAGGATGTGGGACAGGGTATGTCATTTAGGATGTGGGACAGGGTATGTCATTTAGGATGTGGGACAGGGTATGTCATTTAGGATGTGGGACAGGGTATGTCATTTAGGATGTGGGACAGGGTATGTCATTTAGGATGTGGGACAGGGTATGTCATTTAGGATGTGGGACAGGGTATGTCATTTAGGATGTGGGACAGGGTATGTCATTTAGGATGTGGGACAGGGTATGTCATTTAGGATGTGGGACAGGGTATGTCATTTAGGATGTGGGACAGGGTATGTCATTTAGGATGTGGGACAGGGTATGTCATTTAGGATGTGGGACAGGGTATGTCATTTAGGATGTGGGACAGGGTATGTCATTTAGGATGTGGGACAGGGTATGTCATTTAGGATGTGGGACAGGGTATGTCATTTAGGATGTGGGACAGGGTATGTCATTTAGGATGTGGGACAGGGTATGTCATTTAGGATGTGGGACAGGGTATGTCATTTAGGATGTGGGACAGGGTATGTCATTTAGGATGTGGGACAGGGTATGTCATTTAGGATGTGGGACAGGGTATGTCATTTAGGATGTGGGACAGGGTATGTCATTTAGGATGGGACAGGGTGTGTCTTTAGGATGTGGTACAGGGTATGTCATTTAGGATGGAACAGGGTATGTCTTTTAGGATGGGACAGGGTATGTTTTGTCAGGGACATGGTATGCCTCTGGGCGTGGGACAAGGGGGTGTTGTCTATGGATGGGACAATGAATGTCTTTGGTTAGGAGTTGTTTGGGCATGGAAATGATGACATGTCTGGAGCTTGAACAGGGAATTAGTTTGTCGTGGAAAATTGTTGGTAGGCACATAGGGTTTGGGGCAGGAATATGGTTGGGAAATTGGGATTCTGAAATTTATTTTATTAACAAGATACTTGGTGACTTGTTATGACTTTTGTCGAATATCAAATTCTACATAAAAATATTGAATTATATTAAGTTGTAGTTTCAACAAAGAAAAATAACAACTAACAAGCAAGCAACTCTGATTGTTTACCCCCAGTTCATTTATGTGTATGTTTGTAGGTGATAATTCTATCTATAAGGAGAGGTATGAGAGAATTCTCAGAGAACTTAATTTCACCAAGAAACGCATGAGCAAAGAGCACGAGGATGAGATGGAGCTGGAACAGAATGCCAGGAAGGCTTTGGAAAAGAGGGTGAGTAGATATTGTACTTATACTTCAAAATAGAAGTGTTTAACTGGATTGAGATACTGGTGACAGGACAACTTTGATACCTGTGCTACCTTACTGTGACACAGTGACTAAGGGGTGTATGCTACCTAACTGTGACATGGAGACTTAGGGGTGTATGCTACCTAACTGTGACACAGAGACTTAGGGGTGTATGCTACCTAACTGTGACACAGAGACTTAGGGGTGTATGCTACCT